TTGCATCTTAAAGTAAACCTGTGATGATAGAGCTTCAATTGCTGACATGTTTCTAAGGTGAATGTTCATAGGCTGTCATCTTGATCCTGACCTTGCAACCTAATAAGTTGCTGCCTTGGACCAAGCATCTATCCTAAAAATTCTACTTGTTCAAACTTTATGATTCCCTAAAAAGTGCAGATTGTACCCTGAAAAAAAGCCAGCAATGGCAGCTCCTATCCTTACAGCTTTGTTATAATTGTTAGATAATTTGACATTCTCTTGCACATTTTGGCAAAATTAAGAATAATTTAAAGCAAAAACTGTCTTGAAATGAATTATACACATTGGTATTGTCTGAGCTCTCCGTGGTCCTGATCCTGTATTTTTATAGGATCCATACTGGGAGGGTTACATTTATACTGTATTTCACCTGTACAAAAAATATCCTCCTTCCCCTACTAAGGTGGCATATCAGGTATTTAAGCTGGTATCCCCCAGACAAACAGAGGTCACCTGCCATGACAACAGCCCACATAATATTGGGCACTGGGCCTCCAGAAAATGGGCACCCTCTCCAAATAAAATGCGGTTGGTGCTGAAATGTCCTCAGTGCCCAAGTAACAGTGCTGCCTTTGGGCAACACACCTTTTCCCCATGGTTGGCAATTAGGCAATTATGCTACATAACCTCTGCATGGTGAATCCAGCAATCTATGTATCTCATATTGGATCTCCCCTTTGCCCTGAGTAAGGATAGAAAACAAGGAGAAAATGTTCCTTCACACCACGCAAAAGATTATGGCTCAGGAGTGAATGGATCCTCATCTGGGAAATGGTTTTAAGAGTGTAACTACCCTGGTTTATATGTAAAACACCAAAATTAAGAACTAGGTACTAGGTACCATATTTAGAACTAGGTAAACTCTCATAATGAGATGTACATACAGGAGGTGTGCCTGAGCATCAGTGAAGGGGAAAGAATAGACTTGGTGGTGTGAAAAAAACTACTGCACCACAACCCTGATAGAGTTTGCTTAGTGAAGGCAGTTAGGGGAACTTAAACATATATAAACACAAAAATGAACATGTTACCAGTCCTTAGATGTGGTGGTTGAATTCATTATCTTTTATTTAGGCTTTTTTCCTTTATATTTAATGGTGATCTTGTCAATGAGACATTTCCTGTCCAAGGGTGACAGCACTTACTCAACTTACTGAACTGTATCTACAGAGACACAGCGTTATCACTCTAGGACAGGAAGTGTTCTAAGACTACAGACCCTCCCCCATCTCATCTTTATTATATAGAAAGTAGTGTCTTTTTGTAACATTGTTAGAGATTTAAAGCGTGAGTAAAGTGAGTTTTACCAAAGCAAACAACAAAAAATGCCCCCCCTGGAGCTTTTACCCATAATGTGCTAGAATGCACGACATATTGGCACACTATGTCAGGCTCAATCTCCAGCGCTTTGCTTCTCCCTCACTTCAATCTTCGACCTTGTCTTCTTCTGTGTTTTGAGTCTTTGGCCACTTGAGTGGTCGGGCCCTGAAGACGTAACTCCCGCACATGTGGATGGGAGTTTCTCAGGGACCATAGAACCTACAGGTGGCGCTGGAACCAGGTCCTGCAGTTCCTGCGTTTACCTGCAGGTGTTTCCAGGCAGCCAGGAGCTGTCAGGTATCAGACCACCACTGGGTGGTGCTGGAACCTGCAAGTCCAGTGCTCACCTGCTGGTGTCTCCCAGCTGTCAGCGATTATTCAGCACCTTGTGCTACCTGGGAGGGTATTTAATCCCTCCCTGCAGTCTGGACTTTGGCTCAGTATTGTTGCCACGTCCTGAGTCCTGATGCCCCCTAGTCCCCTGACCTTTGCCCCGTGGCTCCCCTTGTGTTGCCGTGCTCCCCAGGTTTCACTGACCCTTTTGTATGTAGTTTCATTGTTTGCTTTTAGTTGGTTATTGGTTAATACTTGTGGGTGTTGGTGGGGTTTTTTATGTTTTTATGATTTTGGCGTGTTTAATAAACTGTGTGCTCATAAACCTTGTCTAGTGTGGTCACACATTTGATCCTCCCGTAGAGATGCCTGTACGCAGTGTGGGGACACCCGTGCACGGTATCCCTGACAGAGTTACTTCATGTGCATGTGTGGCTCAGTGTAGAGAAAAAAACTGTTGGTAGGGAGAAAGATGCTTTTATGGCAGAAGAGACTTGCACAGTCCCCTTTGCCAAAGAAAGCCTAACAGTCGGCAGTTATTTATTTATGTTTTAGTTTACTTCCACTTTAGGTACAGAGAGCAGGAAGTTACAAGGATACTGGATTTTTGCCAGGATCAAATGGAATTTTACTGTACTTCCAGAAAATCTAAATTGAAGAAAAACCTAATGCAGCCACAGCATCGCAGGACTGGTAAGCTGCAATATGTTTGTGTACATTTTGTTGGATTAGATATACTTGAAGCTCACATTCCTATGTCTGGTGCCATCTGTGTTCTGATAGAAGTCCACAGATATAACAGAACCGTTAGCATTATACAGCACTGTCTATTATAAGCCCTCTTCCATAAAGGAGACAGAGATTTGCAAGAATAACATTCACCAATAAGCTCTGTGCTAATATACCATATGCTAAAAACACCACAACAGGCTACATTGTAGTTCTTTGAAATCCCACAATTCCACGTGATGCCAAACTGCACTATTTAATCACTTGTCCTCACACAAATAGATTACTTTGACAGCCTCATGCGGATGCGTCTCTTTACACCTTTTGTCCTTCTCATTTTTTTAAACTAACCCCTTAGGTGTTGACAATCTCTAATTGGAATTGTCACAATCAATCAATGTTTTGTTTACACAAACCTCCTTTTTAGAAAGAATAACAGAGCTGGCCAAGTGTTGTGCCAACTAAGCACACAAGCGTTATATGCAGGGTCAGGTGTGGTGATGCATTGTTCTGCTTCATCAGCAATATACATGCTGCTACAACCTAACATGGCTTACAATGATGACACCGGAGGTGATTTGTGAGGTTATGCAGAAAAATCAGCTGACACCTAGTCAATCAGCTGACACCAACTAGTTGTAGTATACAATAAGGCAGCACTAGGTCCCTCCAGCCCCCCAAAAATGCAAACCATTACCCTGACTTTGACTTACAAGGGTACATATGTTAAAAAGAAATGGTTAAAACCTGGCACATAACTTTTAAATGGCAGGTTCAGCAGGCAAATTCCACCCTATACACATGCAAACAGTTAAAATCCTAATTCCCAGTGTGATCAGTGTGCAGCCAAAGTGAAGTTGGCCAACTGACACAACTGAGTTGTCAATAGAGAATCATCTACAAAAGAATTTGTCTGACATCTGAAAACACCATCTGATTGTGGAAGATGAGTAACGTTCACCATGCTATAAATATGGCAAAATGTTACTGTAACCTAGAGTCAGAAAATCTGTTGCAGACTTCAAAGACCTAATGTTCAGCTTAATAATCCATTAGCCAGTTCTCTGAGAAAGTTAGTCAGACCATTAGCACTTGGGCAGAATAGAACGATTTGCTTCCATTTGGCCCACAGTCATAGCAAACTGCTAAAGCTCATGTAGCGCCCTCTAAAATGTCGCTATTCAATTTAGAGATACCTGGACTGTAACCAGTCTAGATACTGATTATACAGAGCTCTGCATTCTATAGGTGTCCCTGAGTCTGCTGGATCGATTGCTCCTCCTGTTGCTGAGGAAAAGGGAGCCTTGGTATACAGTGAGGGAGGATCCACCCTCAGGTTATGACTATGCACCTGGCCCTAGCCAATCCCTGAGTAGGATGACTCAGAGGCATGGTTGAGGGCAGGTGATAAAAGGTCTGGGGACATTGTGGAGAGCTCTCTTTCCCCTAGGGGCCTTGCCCTAGGAGGACTGTGTGTGATGCAGAGCAAATGGCCTGGGCCTCAGCACATGGCAGGTGCTGAGGGGCCTGGAGGCCTAAGGATACACTGATACTTCACTGGGCCCATACACGTGGCAGGTGTTGGGTGCCT